TAGGAGATAAGGATTGCTACAAATAAAGGGGATGATTATCCTAATCCTATAATGATTAGGATATCTACAACATATGGATAAATACAAGGGAGGATAATGACAAGTCTTGGCCGCCTAGTCTTGGGACTGAAGTAGACTGATGTGGTCTGGTCCATTTCCGGATATGTCCCAACCACCATCTTCATTTCTTAACAAAAACTGAATTTTTTGTCTAATCTAATTGTAATTGATGTATGTTTTCGCATAAATTGGGACCGTTGAATCATGTTTACGTAGAAATTAGGTGACTTCCCGTAAATAGTTTGGTGGGTCACGTGAAAGACCATGCTGCTCTCAATTAACTAGAATTCAGGCCCACTAATAACATAAAGAGCCTTAGACCCACGAATAATATAACAGACATAGATGAACAAATGCAGAATTAATTAACATAGCGAGCGGAATACATTAAAAGTTATTACAACGAGTTACTGTCTGAACAGAGAAATTAAAACCAACAAATGAAAGAGAACGTAGATCACGAAAATAGACATTACAAAGAAAAGATTAGGCAATCAAGGACCGTCTTGAGATTGGGGAGGAGGAGAAGGAGTAGGCCTGGGCTTGGGAATATAAGGATTGAGAGGGCTTCCATGCTCAATAGGACCTTCTCTAACAGAATGTCTCGTTGTCGGAGGTGGATCCACCCGCATATTGTAATCCTCCAATCCCAACTTCATTTCTGCCATTTTTTTTTTCTCCACGTGAATTATTATTAATTGATTTACTAGAAAACAACAGCAAACTAAAGATAAGATGATTGATTACCAGAAGAAACGAGTGAGACACAGAAGAGAATGACAGACAAAGTGAAGACAAATCTTGATTGCTTCATCTTCTACTTCTTCAGAAATAGACAACAAAGAAAGTTTCCCCTTCTTTTTTTTTTTGAATAGAGAGAGAGAGAGAGCGATCGTTTAACAAAAAGAAGATGTGTATGAATATAAGGCCATGTGGGTGGGTTCTTGGATCTTTTGTGTCTTGATTGTGGAGTTGTGGGCTAAATCGAGAACAGAGTTATTGCCCTCTCTCTCTCTCTGTGGCAGAGATGAAGCACCTCAAACAGCTCAAAATTCGTTCATTGGCTATACTTAATGCTGCCCCTCCACTACTTTTCGTTTAAGACACGTGTCCAGATTTCTCTACCTCCACCATTAACAGAAATGAAGAAGAAGAGATGAACGTACGTAAAGACAAAATGATGTTTATAAGAAGAAGAAGATACAGAGGTTGAGGCGGTGCTTTTTTATTTTAATATATGAGACGATAATTGTGCTCGTTGGCTATTTTAATAGCACTAGCTACTACTAGTATAGTCAGTGGTTAGAAAATCAGTAGTAGTAATTGTCTTATCGAGTATTTATTAATAGCATTATCAAATTTAATGGGTAATCTATCAGCACCGTAAACACGAAAATTGCTCTTAAAAAGCATACTGAAGATTTTTAAAAAAATACTACAACTCCACTATAAGCAAAAAAGATAATATTAATGTCGTATAGCGTTAGTTGCCTTTCAAAAAAAAGAAGAAGTTAATGCCATGATGTGAGTCGAATCAACAACTTTATTGCTTCCAAAAAATTTCGAATTTTCTTTACTGTCAAATTTAAATGATGTTTTTTTTTCATTAAACTATTCCACATTCATAGTCGCATAGATACTTGAAAAAAAAAACTAAAAACATACTAGTAGATAAGTACATCGATTAGTATAAGTTCGTTTCACACTCACAAGTATGGCTTTGGCAAACTTCATTTATAACTCTTTGTGATCAGATTTTAGACATACAAATAAGGACTAGTTAATTAGTTGAAGGGAACTGTCGAGAATATCAAATCGGTATTGGGACATTCGTAGTTCATCGGTGGCTCCAGAAAGCATAGACGTACAGCAAGCAAGCTATTCACCGACGTCGGCAGCCATTTCTAAATCCATAATATTATAATTTTAAAAATATATTTATTATATTAAAACGCCAATTGTGAGAATTGAGTGAGCATCAATACAACAATGGAACTAACATGCACATGCATGCATACCGAAATGTTTCTCATGTGAGAAATTAGTGGTAATATAGAAATGTGAAACAATAATCCTTAATGTTTCTTTTCTTTAATGATTATTTAATACGATTCGGCAATTTGTTTATACATCGTTACCGAACAAATAATATAAGCATATTGTTAAACAAATTTATAAAATAGAGAGGAGTGGGCCTAGATGTCACATTCTAGAACATGGGGCTACGGAAGGAGGAGATAAAAGTAGTGAGGGGGGGGGTTGCTATAAGGGAATCGAGGTTACTCCCTCCAAGTTCAGGCTGTTCTCAACTAAGGCGGTCTGGTCTTCAAAGCCTTAATTAGCTTTTCTGTTCGTTTTTAAGCTTTCTGAAACTATGGCAACTGCATATGGATTCCTATATGTGTTGTATGAGCAATGATTCGTATTTTCTATTTCGTATCTGAATACACTAATTATGTTTTGTATTTCTGCAATTTCCTAATATACATAAAAAAAAAGAAAGAACCAAAAGTCATGTGATTCCTCGTGTGCGTGTGTGTTTTAAGAACCCCTCCACTATATCTGGTTATCTGAGAGACTGTGCTCGTAAACTTGGTCTTTCAAACCGGTTCGTACGACGAGGTTGTTGTTCATCAGAAGTGTCACACAAGCAACCAGGCAGAGGGTTTGCATAAAAATTCTCCTCCATTTTTGGATTCAACCCTGCCCTTCCTGGTCGTCTTAGATACGGAGCTCCTAATCTCTTCCCATGTATTCTCTTAACCTGGGACGAGAAGTCTTCCCAAGAAATTAGTCCAGCATCGAGCCTATCAATCATTTTCACTAATCTTTGCCTGCACAAAAAAAACACACGGTAAAAAATGTCAGCTGGTTACGGAAAAAAAGAGAGGATTTCATTCATCATCACGCAAAGAAAAACATAAACAGTACCTATCGGGATTAATCGTTTTTCTAAAACCTTCGAATCTTCGGTGACCCTGAACCGCTTTAGCCATGTTTCCATCGTAAGTGTAAGCGAACACGTCGCTTTCTAGTGCTAAATTGTAATCAAGAGCAGCCAATCTGTTCTGGTAAGGTTTGATAGTGGAAAGCTCTTCCTCTGTAGCTAATGTGGAGTGAAAGAAAACGTTTGGGAACTCTTGGTGGAGTGCATTCATACTGTTTTCACCGTAGATCTCTCCTGCGACAATGTAGATCTTCGTGGTCGAAGGAAACCCCACTGCCTTGAGGAACACGCCAGCTTCGCGTGGTGTCATAGGGCAATTACCTTCAAGACGACGTTCTGTACCGTTGATCACTTTTTCTTTCCAGTGAGGAATACTATACCTCATCTTCTCAAGATCGAGAGATTCCTCGGAGGTTAGACTGTGATTGCATCCGGTAAACGCCAACATGTCTTTCTCGTACCTAGATGAAGAATAACAATTTTTTATTTTATTTTGAGTAATGGTATGAATCATCATAACAGAGGGAGAGAGTAATAGTGGTAGCTTGTACCTCAAGTGAAGAGCAAGGTAGGGTTCATTGTTTTCTCTAAGTCTTGAAGAGAGAACTTTGCTTAGATTCTCTATCTCTGGAGAGTAACGAAGAGCTTCGTAGTTGGCCCGGCATCTAAGCCTCTGTATCGAAGGAGGTGGGCTGTTATTGGCTAGGCGAGAGTCAGTGTGATTGAACACTATCACCTTATGCTTCTTTAGTAGCTTTGCGATTGAGTTTCTGTAATAACTCGCCTGAGCGCAATCAAAAAATTAAAGTGTTAAAGTAAAAAAAATACGGAAGAGAACAGAGAGAAGTCGAAAAGCAATGAAAAATTGAGTTTAACCTTGGACCAGGAGACAGGATTCTTTTCAAGAGGCTTGATGGAAGCAAGTTCTTGCGGTAAGTTCTCGACAATATTGACATCTTCTGCTAACACGTCGATGAAACGTCTCCAGTCGAAAATGTCCTTGAACGTGCTGGAAACAGAATGAAAATACAGCACAACTTATAAAGATGATTAGGATGATGATTCTGTTGATTTAGTGATGATGAAGGGTTGGTTACCTTGGATCACTCCAGAAAGATGAATGGTCAAGAAAAGGAAGAACAAGACTAGCGTTCATTATTTTGGCTATTGCGACCATATCACATATCTGTGAAGAGACAAACAATGTGAGGAATTGAGAAAATTTAAAGCCAGAGGACCTAGAAAGAAGAAGAAGAGACTTACACCAGTTCTCATCTGATTCAAACCACCGTTGGCGTGGACAAGAAGGTAACCATTGGTTTGCTTGATTGGTCCTAAAACAACAAAATCCGATAATTAGGTCTTAAATTTCTCAGTTGATAGGTCAAACCAAGGCAAATGCAAAGAAGAAGTAGGAAACTTACTTTGGTTCTTAGGACGAGTTACGCATTTGTGATAATTCCCAGTGTCCGGTTGATTCCAAATCTCTGGGATCTGTTGGCCAAAAAAAAAAAAAAAAAAAGCCAATATTATTAGTTGTTCAGACAAGGATAACGAATAAGCAAAAGCCCGATGGGCCAACGTACAAGTTAATGTGTTATGATGTGATTAAGTTAATAGCGTAAATACTGGATTAATTTAGTCAACGCTCTGGAAAATTCAAAGAACGAATATGCACCCCACGATGACTTTCGTATTTTGGAAAAAACTGATTAAATATTCACTAACGAACTTTAAGGAATTTTCTTCATACGAAACTTAATCCTTTTTTAATATAATGCAAAACTAAATTAGGAAAAGATTCAGCTTAGATTTATATCATCGTCTTCTTAAAAATTAGAACTTCAAATAAATTTTAAATATATAATAAAAACGAAAACGTCAGACTCTGTTTTTATAGAAGCTTACCGGTGTTCTTTGAGGAAGGAGAAGTTGAATGGAGTTGGATGATGAAGCTTCTTCTTCTCGGATGATCTTTTCAATGTTATTTCTTGGATGAATCGAAAACACAAACTCGTGTTTCTCCTCCACGTGTTGCTGTCGTCCACCGGAGAGAGCTACGATAAGGAAGAAAGTGACGACGAGGATCCCGAGTAAGGACAGAATCACACGGCCGAGGTTAGTGGCAGATCTCATGTTCTTAGCGATTCCAGCCGACCACTGGGACTTGTTGTCCAACATGAGCATCCACACGAGTCTGAACTTGCGGAGAGACGGATACCCCACCGGATAACACGTCGATGATAATCCGTCGGAAGAGAGGCTGCAGCTCGTCGCTTCTTCCTCGTCGGGGACGACGTAAACGACTGCGTTTCCTCCTCCGGTGCAATGATCTTCCTGAGAATCAGCAACGCGACGTCTTGTTGTCGCCGCCGGTAACTGGCTGCTGCTTGACGTATTCACCGGAACGCCGACTGACATATGGCCGAGAAATAAACAGGGGGGAATTAAGAAACGAATGGATGTTTTTGGAGAAAAACAATGAATCTTCTTTCCTTCTTTTTTTAGTAATTTCCGGTGCCGCGTGATCTCAGGCGAGCAGACAAACAATCTCTCTCTAATTCTGCTTCCTCTTCCCTACTTCCTCTGTTATATATACGTGTGAATGTATTATTATACGTGGAAATTAAAAGTCGTTTTGTTCCAACTTTTATTTTTATTTGGACTTTTATTTATTTCACCATGTAAAAAGGTTCGTTTTTATTAAAATCCCATTAGTGTACGACTTCGAATTTTGCTTTTAACAAATTTATCAGAATTTTTATACCGAATATTTTTCCTATTTCCTTTATTACTGTAACTTACGAAGTACAATAATCTCGAGAGATTATCTGATTTATTATTCCTTTTTATAGCTGTTGATAAAGTTTATATAGTTGATAATTACATTTATAAATATTTATTTGTATTTGCCTAACTAGTAGCTGATAGACACGTAAAATTTAGAAACAGTAGAATTACACATTAATTAGATGTTAGTAAGTTTTTGAGTGTTTTTAAAAGTAAAAAAACGTTTAGGATAAATTCGAACGTTGCTTGAATTCCCAAATTTATTTGTCCTCTTCCTACGTCCTTTTCTATAGATCTCTCCATTAAACGATACCCATACCGCGAAATTTTTATATAGTACTTTACAAGCACCAAATGCATTAACACATGATTACTTCCATTTTTATTGGAATTCTTTCTCCGACTTGGAACTTCGATGCAGGCCGGCCCTGAGAGATAGGGGGTCTAAGATGATTCCTATATACATGTAATTTTTTCAAAAAAATTGGAGGGGCCCAAGGTAAATGTTTCATCCGGTTTGTCCAGGACCGGCCCTGCTTCGATGTGTAGTCCAAGTTTTTCCCAAGTAAGCCATGTTTTACTTCGATTCCATTCTGTAGTTGGTGTTACCGAATTGTTTAGTTTCACGATCTAAGAGCAGCAGCATCAATAAACCTTGGTACAGGTTCACACGTGGCGTTTTTAAAATTTTTTTAATTATTTTTCGTTTACTTTTTCTAAAAAAAAAAAAAAAAATTGGACCAATAGCGGGCCGCCAGGTGGCGTGGGGCCCGCAAAAAAGTTGTGAAACGGGTTCACCGCAGAGGGGCGAGACAAGCCGAGTTCACTCCTTTTCGTCTTCGGATGCGTGTGAACCTGGTCTAACAACCTTCAATGCTGCTGCTCTAAGCTTTGTATATTTTTATACACGCCCAAGTCTGAGCATAAAGTACTGGACGTGGTAGTTATTTGATCCTCCATAACAAATAGACACGTCTTAGAGGTTTTATTATAAATATGTACTAGAGTTTCACCCGCACATCCGTGCGGGTATATTTTTATTTTATAAATATATAACTAATTTTTTTAATATATGATTTATATTTTAGTTTTAATTATAATCATATCTAATAACGAAATAAAGAAATACTTATTTTATTAAAAAAATATTTAAAATATTTGGTAAGATTTTGTTAGATTTTTTCAATAGATTTTGTTATATTTAAATTTATTTATTATTAATATTCTTATTAGTTATTAAGATATTGTGAAAATCATATATATTTGACTGGTTAATGTAACAATAAAATATGTCAATTTAGTAATTAATAACATGGTCCAATATGACTTCTAAATAGTAGATAAATTTGGTACTTCTCTTTTAATAGAGAAGATAGACTATTTTTTTTTTATCATATGTATAGACTTTTTTTTTATCATATGTATAGACTTTTTTTTTATCATTTGTATAGACTTTTTTTTTTATCATATGTATAGACTTTTTTTTTAATCATTTGTATAGACTATTTGAAAGCCTAAAATTACTTGCTTGTGATGTTTATTTAAATACTTTAACCCATTTAGTTTGGTAACCGTTAGAGTTCCATCATGCTAATAAACGCAACTATTATAATCCTCCCAAGCTAGTGGTTTTTAATAACTACAGTTCTGTACTCATCAGCTGGAATCATTGTTCTATTGACTATGTCAGGCAGCACTACAGAGTTAAAATAGATACTTTCTCGCAGATTATTATGTTATTTCAGAGTGTTGGATCCGATTTAAAACCTAGTGCAACGTATAGAAGATTTGTAATCCATCACGAACCCTGTATAAGTCTGATCTAGGATATAGAAAGAGAATGAGTCAATCTACTACATTTAAAGAAAACAATTCATAAGAAACGTTCAATATAATCTTTAACTGACAGTGACAATGTATTTGTGTACGTAAACGATTCCGTGATTTAAATAGGCTGCATCTCTTAACTTGTTTAATAGAGTTTTGATACGAATTATTCCGGACCTTCTGGTTATAAATATTATCATATAATGTCACAGAAATCTTGACGTGTGTTCTAAATATTCTTAGACAGATAATATGATGCAAATAAGTTCTAAAGCTTAGTAGAAAGACGTTGCTGTATAAGAAATGAATAAACTAATTAGAGATAGTTTTACTACCGTGGAAAACTACAACAATCTAGCATTTTAAGACGGTAACGTACCTAAGATGATGGTCTTTAAAAAAAAAGTGTACACAATCAAACAAGTCATAAATGATTTGATATATAGAATAGTGAAAGAGAATCCCCATTCTAACGTTATGTGTGTTGGTCTAGACCATATTATACTCCGAACCGCGATTTTCCACGTTCTTTCAGTCAACTCCTTATATAGTTTTACTTTAGTTTCTTAAACCGAATTTCCAACGTAATATTTTTAAAACAACAAAAAGGAAGTAGAATTCGAACTTCTCTGACGTCAAAAAGGGACCAAGACTCAATTAGAACCATTGGACGTTCGGTCGAAATCACAACACGCTTTCAAAAATGGACTTAAGAGACTAGAAATTGACCTATTCTCCACATGGACACGTGTGAGTTATGTATGCATTTGTCAACCTGTATCATTTTACGAGAGAATATAGTATACTAGTATATTGTATAACGGTGGGACCACGCGACATTTTGGTAGAATTGTCTCTCATTGAGTTTCTTCTGGGGAAAGTCAATATCTCTCTACCTGCAACCTGAAGGTTCGTAGTTGGTTGGCATGGTTCTCGTTAGGGTTGGCAAATTCTATTATACTTTTTATTTCCAGAAAGGACTTCTAATATACTTTTTATCTTCTTTTAAATATATATATAAATGTGTGTACTATTTTAGATTCTGTTAAATTTCCACATACGAAATCTGATATAGTAAGTTAAATATGTAAAAATATATATATATGTGGATGTACTTCTACTATGGATAAATATACACCAGACAGGGATTTATAACAATTATCATACACATTTTAACGAATTTGATTTTATATTCTCATATACGATATTTCAGGATATATTGATTGAGACGTAAAATATTGTTTGATATACACTCACGTATGCTAAGAATAAAACGCGTACGGTGAGATCAAAAGAAAGAAAAAAAAACGCGTACAGTACAGTACGGAGTGCTATAGCCTTCGGTTCTCCGTCCCCACCGTCATCGCCTCAATTTTCTATTTTATCTTGATACATTGCTCTCGTTTCCTTTCATATATTTTCATTGATTCGTCTAATATATTACTCTCCAAAATTCTAGAATTTATGAAAAGAACGGTCGTTTTGACCCCCCCCCCCCCAAAAAAAAAAGGGGTCGTAAAATGGAGAAAAGGAGCAAATATGGATTACAAGAATTTGGGGTCTAAAGTGAAAATATTTTAAACTACGGGGACCGTTTTGTTTAAGAAACGTGAGTTGCAAACCTTTATTACTGATGATCTCTTCAAGGTCGACCGCATCACCCTTCTGACAAGCCTCCATGCAGCAATGGCCTGTATGTGGTGTAGGAGTCAGGACTCAACCCGAATTTCAAAAACATCCTTGGCCTCTCTCGTATTTCCAGTTCTTACACAGTCCATTAATCAGATTGTTATAAGTATAAAAGCCCAGGACTAAACCCGTTGCTGGGAAATAGCATTCATAAACTCAAATGCCTCACCATGAAACCTTTACTAGAGAGTAGTCGCTAATCAACGTATTATACGTTACTACGATATATGAGGATAAACTCCCATCTTATCTACCACTTGAGACAAAAAAAGAATCCAACTTTCTCCATTTTGACCATCTTTGCACAATGCATTAACCATATGATGTTGAGAGTGTAAACATAACCACCACTCGGAAAAATGTCTTGATATAAACTCCCCAAGTCGATTCTACCCACACAATGAGAGGCATCGATGGAAACTACATAACCTTTGCCATGCAGCAATGGAAAAAGCCGAGTGAACTACTCTGAGTTATTCAAGCCTGCACACAAGTCCTAGTCAACAAATTGAAAACAGAGTCATTGGAGCCAGCCACAGTTACTATACGTTGAAGCCAATGAACTCTGCCCTGGAAACGCCACTTATTCTAAAAATACAGCTCTAACCTTCCACTCCACACTAGCAATAGAAGCAAGCAAAGTGACACCAATGAACACATAAGTCTTCTGGCTCATTGTCAACTCATCTGTTAAGCTTCAAATTCCACAACAAAATAGTCTCTCCTTCCTAACCAGATGGAAGTAGATTACATCTTTTCTAGAGTTAATCCAAAAAAAAACTATCAAACTAGCTATCTACTGCCACCTGCTTAACAAAGCAGAATTAGTGAAGCTAAATGCAGCAGTCCTAGCTCATTCCAACACACATATAAGCCAACTCTTAATGGCCATCAATGAGACGAGATACAAACTAAAGTGGAATGAGCCTGACATTTTACGAATCAAAGTATGCGCAGAAACGATTACAAGGGAAAATTATTGCAAAAGGTCGATTGAAACACAGTTCCACAAATCATTTAAGAGACCCAAACAAAACACAAACAACGAAAGTTTTAAAGAGACTGACATGATGTATATACATGAGAGAGAGACATTCATTCTCTTTTGATTCTAAAAAGAGTACAAGAGATAATATAATTTAAAAGCCACCACGGAGCCTGAGAACCAAGTGAAGAGTAGACTCTTTCTGGATGTTGTAATCAGCCAAAGTGCGACCATCCTCAAGCTGCTTGCCAGCGAAGATGAGACGCTGTTGGTCCGGTGGGATG